ACACGTGTCGTCGGAAATCCGTCGGTAACACGGGTCGTCGGAAATCCGTCGGTGACACGTGTCGTCGGAAATCCGTCGGAGGTTCTGGCCGTCGGAAATCCGTCAGCAAATGATTCTGACGGATTTCCGACGGATTTCAGTTATCCCTTTTCCGTCGGAAATCCGTCAGTATTTCCGACGGATTCCCGACGGTTTTTTAATTTNCGACGAGATAGAACCGACGGACCAAAAACGTCGGCAAGCCGTCGGAATAGGGCTTATTCCGACGAATTTCCGACGGTTTTGGCCGTCGAAAACGGCCCTATTTTCTTGTAGTGTTAGTTAGGTAAACAATTGCACTTGAAACTGAATTATTGTGATTATGCGATTGTCTACGAGAGTTGATTAATAGGATGATATTATATTATAGTGCTTTTAGATCATAAATAAAATCAAACGATGTCCATTTCGTCTAAGAATAAACCATGAATAGTTCAAACTATGAATCCCTATGAATGTCATGGGTACCCAACGCTTTAAAATTTGGTTAACAACATTTTTTAATTCACTCTTTTAAATATTTGTAATTAAAACCCTTAAATTGATTTTTCTTAGATTTATCCTTATTTTTGCGTTAATTATTAGGCACTAAAGGCTATGTGGATTCGATCCTTAATATTGCAGCATACAATCTGTTCACTTGCAGTTTTCCATTGTAAAATTTAGGGTAAAAATTGATTTCTTACACATCAACAATTTGTTACACACTACTACGCCTCCTAAGGAACACAATTTTTGCATATGAGGAATAAAAAAAACTGTGCAATGAANCTTTTACTGATCATAAGAGAATATGTTCAAATTTCCACTATGGCATAGAGTATTAGTTAAAATGTTTTGATTGGTGAAACTAAATTATGTGTCTGCTAAAACACTTTTTGAACGACACATAAGATTTTCTGTACTTACTCTCTTTATCTCGTCAATTAATATTATATAGTATAAGATTTCATGATAACAAACTTTTGCAGAAAATATGATTTTGATACCAAAACAAGATTCTACGGTTTTAGCATCAATATGAAATTTTGTGGTATGGTGCAATTATGTTGTTTTCACGTAAAATCATGA